TTTAGGGTTCAGAGTTTTGGATTTAGGGTTGAGGGTTGAGAGTTTTGGATTTAGGGTTCAGAGTTTTGGATTTAGGATTTAGGGTTTAGGACTTAGGATTTAGGGTTCAGAGTTTAGGGTTTAGGATGTAGGGTTTGGGGTTTAGGATTCAGAGGGTCACGGCCTAGGCGGGTCGAGGGGTGCTGGAAGGATGGTCTTGAGGATGCTAGTTCATGGGCTTTGTTTTGTTTAGGGTTTAGGGGTATAGGGCTTAGGGTTTGGGGTTTAAGGTTCGGGGTTTAGGGTTTAGACTTTGGGGTTTTTGTTTTGGGCTTAGGGGTATAGGGCTTAGGGTTTGGGGTTTAAGGTTTGGGGTTTAGGGCTTAGAGTTTGGGGTTTAAGGGTATAAGGATTGGGGATTAGAGTTCAGGCTTGGGATCTAGGGCTGAGGTTTTGGGGCTGGCTGTTTCGGATTTGGATTTAAAGTCTAGGGCTAAGGGGTTGGGTTTTGGGGCTTCATGAGGCGGACGACTTATGACGGCCCTATCCCCCCGCAGGCAAAGCACTGTGCATCACAGAGACACAAGGTGCGTCTGAAGTAAACCAACAGTTTGGATATACTATATTGACTGAAAACATCTGCGAAGAAGTATTCGTAGTAATGTCAAAAACATTCATAAAGGCTACATTGAGTACCAACGTTGTCGCATGATGCAACTCTATCCATGTGGCAGGAGGTGCGGTTGGCCTGTCTTATCGAAGTGTAGCCAAGAGCTATCCACTTCCGGCGTAGATCCTGCAGGTCACGAAGGGCTTTTGAAGCAAGTCAGGCTTTGTGCAAGCCACTGCAAATCATGATGCGTTTCCCTGTGTCAGGTCATGAATCATGGCACATTGCATCCTTGCGTTGTTCTACCATCCTGCACGATGATTTGAGTACCTGCATGCACTTGCTACCTGCCCCCTCGGTTCTTAAGATACTCGAGGTAGCTGCCCTGCACCCTAAACCCGAAACTCGCAAAACCCTAATCCCTAAGCCCTCCCATCCTCACCCTAAGAACCTCAACCCTAATGTCGAATCCCCGTTCCCTACCTGAACACCACTCCCTGAAGCCTACAAACTCTAAACCCTGAGCCCTAAATGCTAATCCGTAAACCCAAACCCTAAATCCTAAACCCTAAACCCTAAACCTCACCCCTAAAGCCTAAATTCTAAGCCCCAAGCCCCAAGCCTCCAAGGACTTGACCGGGGCTGCAGCCTCAATCGCAGTGTGAAACTCGTCTAGGGAAACCACACCTGAGCTGGGCTCATGTTCCAGGATCTAGGGTTTACTTTTTTTGGTAAGATTTGGGACCCTAAACCCTAAACCCTATGCCTTATGGTACTGTCGATTTCCGGCTTTTGTAGTTTGGGGAAACTGACTAAAGAAAAAGTCTTTTCCTGGGCTCCGCAAGCCGGGTAGGTCGGATGGCAACGTTTTCAATAAGGTTGACATAAGCTTCTCCTTAAGGGGATGTGAAGCGTCCAGTCCCATGTAAGGGCAGAAGCTTACCCCTCATGGGAATCCCGCAACATCACTGTGAGAGGATGTGAATAGCTCCATCTCTGAAGTTTTACACTGCCTTCCTTTCAGGCAGGCAGCCGTTCTTGTCATGGTCAAGGAACTCAAAGATCTTGTGGTGCTCCTGCCAGAACGCAAGCCCCAAACCTGAACCCTAAACCCCAAAGGATGGTGATTGATCTGATGCTGGCATCGCTAGTGGTGGTATTGCCTCCTGTCCGTCCCGCACGTAACGGGTGCTCCATCAGCCAGTACAAAGTTACTAGGTACTAGCATCACCGCCAACACGCAGAACCAGAAACGAAAGCTGCCAACGCGATTTTGCATCATCCAAGCCGTCGAGCTATTTCGCTTTTTGCTCATGCTCGTTCTCGAATTGCTCAATCGAGTGGTGATGAGGCTGAAGTCAGCAACATGTCTTCAACTTGAAAGTATACTGAATTGCCGACATGCTTATCATGACGATGACTCTCTCAGTGCTCATGCTGTTCATGGGCATTGCAGCCGCGTTGAAGTTGACTGGGTTGCTGTGAGAGAATCTAGATTAAGTTACCATGCTGGGGATAGTGTCGGAGTTAGGGCTTAGGGTTTAGGGATATACAGAATGTCACAGGGTCTCCTCATAATGAGAATTAAACTCTAGTTCCATAGCAGTAACTAACCAAGCTGGGCCTTCTGCCCATGTTTCAGGGAGCTTGCATAGACTTCCTGGGGGTTATTAGGGAAGAAGGGAACGGAAAAAATGATATGGGGATTATGGGGCTTAGAAAGGGCCCTACACACAAAAAGATATCTCCTTAGGCAGAAGCTTTTGGATGTCAGGTTTGGGTCATGGGTGCTGATTTTTGAAATATTGGTTTAGGGTGCAAGGAATCGGGCCAGGGGTATAGCTACGGTGATCGCTAATCTCATGATTAATTAAACGCGTGTGATGATCACTACTCCTCTGGATGTTCAGGGGACTCTGGAAATCCGGAATACGTGTTGGGTGCAGCGACAGGTGCATAGATCTGTGCAGGCCTACTTGCTGGTAGTTATAAGGGAATATACTCCCTATATAAGCCCCATAATCCCCATATCATTTATTCCGTTCCCTTCTTCCCTAATAACCCCCAGGAAGCCTATGCAAGCTCCCTGAAACATGCAGGGCTTGCGCAGAAGGCAACACCTAGCTGGACTGGCTCTTTTCAACGAGGTTAACTTCATCGGGCTTTCATCATAAAAAATGGAATTGTTTAGGGCTGATGTTTTTTGCGGCCCCTTTTTGCACCTGCCTGATGAATGCTTGTGGTTTGGGGGTTAGGGATCTACTCTACATAATCCCAATGCAATCTGTCCTAAGTTTCTTCACAGCAACCCAGTAACATGAACAGGGCCCCTTGAATCAGGGTTGAGACCGCCATCTGCAGAGCGATGCCTGAGCAGCACAAGCACAGGGGATTAGGGTTTTGGGATTTAGGGGTTTAGGGTTTAGGGAAACATGGCCTTTTGGGGATTCTACAGGGGTTAGATTGGGTTATATAGGGGTTGCATTGGGGTTATACAGGGGATTATATACGGTTTATAGAGGCCTTAGGGTTAAAGGTTTCGGGAGCCATGAGGGTTTTCCCACATTAGAGGTACCTTTCTGGGGGTCCCAGTACGATTTGGGGATTTACATTGGGTTTAGGGTTTAGGGGTGTCGGGCTTAGCGGCTTAGCGTTGAATGCATGTTTCTGCTCGTTTTGGAGTGCCCTCTCCTTTGCTGGTGGAAACTTCAAGGGGCGTAGCCTTGTGGCTAAAACGAGGGTAAAACATCTTAGCACAAGGACAACGCCTGAGAACAACAAATTGATGAGAGCCTCAACAAGTTTCATCGGCAATCTACAAGATTTCAGCCCACGCAAGTATCTCCAAGCGGCTCAAAGGCATTGTCAAAGCCATCGGTCACTAGACCTGGACCAGGCGCTTGTCCCATATATGACTACTAGTCTGAAAACTATTGTTACCATTCTGGCCATTCTCACTATTATTCTTACTATTATTGCTACTATTACTATTAGAATTATTATTACTATTATTGCAAGTAGTACTATTATGAAACGATAGCCCGCAGAAGCATGGCTCTCGTTCCGCCACGACTACTGCTGTATTGCGCCCTTCGCGTGAGCGACAGCGAGCACGTTGATATCTGAGCTTCCCTGATGACGCCTATCATACTCCCCTATACAATCACCTATGTAAACCCCCCTTTAGGGAGTTTGGACCCTAAACCCTATACCCTATATAACCCTATACCCTACATAATCCCTTTATGACCCCCTTCAAGGAATTCAAACTCTAGCTCATATCTGAAGTATGATCATGTCAGTGGCCTCAGACCATGCGAAGCTGGTAGTCTCCGTTCTGCGTGATGTAGCGCACCCAAGGCAGCGCCTGGCCCATACGACTTACCGGTTCTCAGTGGGCACTAGGAGAATGTATCATATAGGGATTCTGTAGGGAGCATATTAAGAACAAGTAAGGCGAGCATTGTCGATACTCCGTATCTGGGCTCAAGAAAAAGAGATCCTGTCAAGCCATAGATGGTCGCTGTTAAGGCGTAGACTGGCGGGAGCATGGCGCAGTATTTGAGGCCTGGTAGCCAGATTTCTCGATGATTTTGAGATACCTGCCAGGCAGCCACACAACAGGCCATGACTTCAAAATTACAGTGTTTTCCTAGTATTCTTGCAAAAGACAGGGGAACTGCTGCCGTTTTCATGTGGGCTTCTGCCGCCGCTGCCTGACGGTCACACCAGACACGGTGAAGTACGGGATCTCGAACTTCACAGACATCGGCGCCTGATAGCCCAATGATAGAACACCCAACCCCATAACATAAACATACTCCTAAGAAGAACAGCAGTAGTAGTAGTAGTAGTACTAGTCATACTGATAGCAGTGAGAATAGTGACAGCAATAGTATGAAGGTACTCTGTGGAAAGAGGTCGCTGGCCACAGCCACAGCAATTACAGACGCTTTTGCAAAACAGCCCGGCCAAGCCTTCATGTAGGCATCCCGATTCTCTGCACCAACAGACGGGAGGCCGAAATTTGCCGTCATGATGTAGTCCTTCTGGCCTCATAGGTTTTTCTGAACTGGAAGTTTCTCGAAGGAGGGGTTTGTGTAGTGATCCCATGCATTTTTGAGTGAGTATAAAGGGGACTGTGGGGCCTTTTTGAAGAAACCTCAGAAACCCTGTGCATGTCGAAGGCAAAACATGTCGTGACTCATGAAGCGGAACCAAAACGTTTCCAAATTAGTGGAAAGACCTCACGTTTCTGGGAAACTCCCTGAGGACCGAGCCCTGGAACTGCTTGACGCTCCAGACTATGCAGTCCTGGCAGGGTGAGTGTACTAGGTCTCCTCATGGGTTTAGAGTCTAGGATTTAGGGTTTAAGGTTTAGGGTTTTTTTTGTCGGACCTTTTTCCAACTTGCTGTTCAGTCGGAAAGCCAGCTGGCCAGGCCGGTTAACATTTGCTGGAAAATCCATGTCTCAGCCCCTACCACATTCACAGGCACCAAGGACCCCCGCAGACGACTCACTTACGGAGCGCCCCGCGTCAAGACCCTGAAAGCAAGCCCTGGACTCAAAAGACCGACAACATCCAGAGCCCTCAAGGCAAATCTGCAAAGGCTTAACAGGAGCCAGCACGCTTAAGGTTTTAGGGTTTAGGGTTTAGGGTTGAGGATTTAGGGTTTAGGGTCTAGGGCGGACGGAACAGGAGTGTAGGAAGGGCCCACTTCGAGAAATTCCTATATCATAGGCGCGCTCCATCATTGATGCGGACTACAGGCTCTGCTGAAGAGCTTTCCAGACGCGCATTTGATGATGACCCCGAACCCTAAACTCCTAAAACCTAAACAATCCTAAACCCTAATTCTTGCAAGTCCGCTTCTACAGCGGGGGCCCTCAGGAAAACATGAGCACAACAGGCGGGCCATCAGGTTCTAGACAACTCACACGACTGCTGACTTGAGCGATATGCCACATACGGCCACACTGACAGCTGCAGTTCTACAGTTTCCCCTGCCTGCGATTCTGATTTGTTACGAGCACAGCAACTCTGACTCACCAGAACCGCTCAGCAAGAATATGGGGGACATTCTTGCAAGTCCGCTTCTACGGCGGGGGCCCTCAGGAAAACATGAGCACAACAGGTTGCTGTCATCATTGGCCTGGCCGCCCTTTTCAAAAACCACGTAGCCAGCATCACAGAAAGTACAGAATGGTTGCATGCCGTCTCAGGTTGGACAGCTGGGAAGCGGGAAGCTGAACATGCTCAAGAAGCAACAGCATCCACTCCCACTCTCCCGGTACTGGCTGGCGACTGTCGTGGTCCCAGCCGCAAATTAAAGGCGCTCCGAATCCAGCCGAAGACTCAGAACTGCAAACCGTCGCAGTATAGTATCCTATTATTAGCACGTAGCCACAGGTATGGCCTTGACAGGACACCGCACTTCGTAGCTTGCACATCTTGGCGTGCACCTGACGTAGCAAGCGCCAAGGTACCCACTTCCACAATGTCAGCGATGAAGCCCGGACACTGCAGCTGGACGTGTGTTGCTGGCAGGACTATACACAAACATAAATTCGAAAAGTGTTGACTGAAAAGCTGTGTGAGCCTTTGCACATCATGCCAAATGCCGAAGCAAGGCAGGAAGCTCACGCCATCACTCATCCACTTCGTTAACTGTCAGCGTCGCTTGTAGTCATCCTTGAGGCGTGTTACAAGGCACGCTGGGCTGCGGAGCCGAAGCCTTGCGAGAGCGGCGAACTCCCCGCGATGGCCAATCCGATGGGTTTTCAGCAGATGGAACCAACACGAGGTACAGTTGCAACTCCCCTGCCATCTCCAGCGCTGCAGCTTTGCGTAAGAGCCTGTTGAGCTGAGTTGAAGACCGGCCTTTTGCAGCTGCACCCAACCATACTGCACTGTCAACAAGCACGACAAGCCTTGAGCAATGCTTGCGACGTGACCGCAGCACCCATCGCAGCCACAGGATGAAAGCCTCTCCTTCCAGAACATTGATGTGGGAAGCTTTGCGTGCTTTGATGCTGAAGATGTCCACAAAATCATCAACACTAATGTCCAGCTGATGTGCTTCGCCAAGCCGCTTAGCCTGTGCACCGGTCCACGTGCCCCCATCCAAGACCACATAGTCTCCTTGCTTTTCGGCCACGCGTGCCAATCGACGAACCATGTGGTGAGGCAGATGCGCAACACTCGCTCCAAAACCGTGCGTTGTGCTGGCATCCGTGGCTGAGAGCAATGGCAGAAACGGTGTGCGTAGGTCCAAGCGCCAGAAAACACCCAACAGCATGCCAATGCCCAATTCGAACATAACTGCTTTAGGGATCGGCCGCAGTTGGTCGTCCATGGCGTCCTTGACGAAGGCATAAATCTGGTCATACACAGACAGCTTGCATCGCCGCAAGAGGTCAAACCATTGCTGAACACCCAACTGCTGGTGCACTTGCTTTGGTGACGCCCAACCCGCATTCATCAGATACAACACTGTTACCAGCATTGCCACGCAGCGCGTTGGGGGAACTCCTATATGCGTGCCATTTTCAAGAGATACACCAACACATGTCGCAGACAGTTCGTCGTTTACATCTTTGGCTTTATTTCGCAAAGCTCCACGCCTGTCCAACTCAGCATCCAGCTGGTGAGCAGCCTAACCCTCACCTGCGTCACGAAGATCATCACGTCATCAGTAGCTGCTGCGAACACCAAGTTGAACGACAAAGGTGTGATAGCCTCACATGACAAAATACGTGATTCAGCCAGCCCTGCAGCACCACATGTGTTGAGGAGAAACTCCTGAGCTACATAAGAACTCCACGCGAACCCCATGGGCCACGTCAAGCTCACAGGGTAAAAGGACGTGGCTTGGCCACTTTCTCCAGGCAAAAGGCACGCCTTCACTTCTTCAACAGTCATGCCTCCGGTGTGCAACAACTCATGTAAACTGACACGCGGCCTGCCCATCCAGCGCCGCAGCTCAGACGGCAAACGAAGCTGATCAAACCAGCAACTGGCATCCCTCTTGCTGCATCTAAGTTGTTTTCCTGGCCTGCATTCAAGATATGTGAGCGCAGTCGGGGAGGCAAGATGTCTGGGCTTTGGCGGAGGCCTAGCAGCAGCAGAAACTCGGCGCCCATGCCAAACAGCGCGCTGGCGCTTGCCTCCGGGCTTTCCCACTGCTATCACCGTGCCACCGCCTTTCACATGCACTGCCAGCCCCAATTGCCCAGCTCTCAAATGCCTGACGACCAATTTTATGTATTCAGCCTTGTCTTCCGACGCCACGCCCGCAAAAACAGACAGCCCCTCGTGCGCACCGCCAAACATAGCAGATTCATTCGTGAGAATCTTCTGAACACTTTCCGGCATGCATGGGATCGGATCGCAAACTCCAGCTTGCGGCAACACATCTACAGCCTCAGCACGCAGGGCTCCATACTTGGGACCAGCCGGACGCTCCGGAAGAGGCACCCAATCCGGTGTAAGGGATTCCCATGACCCCGGCTCTGGTTTCTGCATGCGGTCGTGAAAATCCACACAGCGACCCACCAATCGATGCACCACATCAGTTTGCGCTGCTGTTCGGGGAAACACATGACCATGAACATGCTTAGTACCATAGCACCAGTTTAGGGCACCAATCACAGCATTGACAAAACCACGCATCAGACCCCAACGCTGGAAATCCCAGTCTGGACGCTTGCATTCTAGGACACGCAGTGGAGCCAAAGGAAAAATGTCTCGCTGTCTGGAAGTTTGGCGTGTGGTTGTAGTAGAGTTGCTTGGAAAGTACTCCGTACCAACCAGACTCCACAGCTGAGCAGCAAGTCGATGCATGAGCCAGAGGCAGTCTTTTGGCACAAGTGAATGTTGCTGTGACCGCCAGTTGAGCCACTCGTGACGTCGTGCACGCGACCGCAGTCTGCTAGCATGGGATCTGTAGCGCGGTTTGGCCATAACCCCCACCCACACAGGGAGTCACCATCAGGTTCTAGACAACTCACACGACTGCTGACTTGAGCGATATGCCACATACGGCCACACTGACAGCTGCAGTTCTACAGTTTCCCCTGCCTGCGATTCTGATTTGTTACGAGCACAGCAACTCTGACTCACCAGAACCGCTCAGCAAGAATATGGGGGACAATCCCAAACCCCCAAAGCCAAAACCTAACCTTGCCTGGTCAGGGATATATCTGACGGTGCCGATCGACGTTTTGAACGACGGCGAGTCAACGTCGGAGGGGACCGGTATGTGGATCTCCACGTTGTTGGCTACGCTACGCCTGGGCAGAAGTTTATTTGGTACACTCCCCAAAAAATACATGGAACCGGAAAAAATGCTTGTAGACTGGTGTCCTTTGGAGAGGGGCCTGTTTGGGCTTCCATGTCTTTGGAGGAGGGTAGCTTCAAAGCTTGGAACACCTTCCATGGCTTCACCAGCTGAGTGCGCGGCGACTTGAATTGCGATTTCGCTTTTATCATATACCTCACAATTCTTACCTTTGGTTCGCTAGGAATGAAGGAACTGATCCTTACAGCAGTCCCTATATATTATATAACCCATTATGGTAGTTTCCAGTTTCTTTTCCGTTCCTTCATTCCCAGCTAACCAAAGGCTGGAAAGTCGGGTCATCAAGTCTGGCTCAGACTCAGAAGAAACGCCAGACAAGAAAGCCCGAATTCCACCGGGCTGCTCGATCCGTGACCGCGAGTGGCCAGGATCCACCACTGCCTGGCTGGCTACACGCGGTTTAGCGGGTTTAGGGTTTAAGGGGTTCGGGCCTCGGGTTTCGCTTTAGGGCCCCTTCCAGGGGCAATCTACTGAGATTGAGAGTTGCTTGCCCTACGTCCGAAACCCTACATGCCTGATCATCCTAAAACCCTTAAACCCAAATCCCTAAACCCTTAAAACCTTAACCCTTGACCCTAAACCCTTGAACCCTTAACCCTTGAACCCTCAATCCAGTTCCGAATCCAAAAACCTTAAAACCCTCAACCCTGAACCAATTGCTTGCCGGCCTCAACCCATATGAGGGGCTTCACATGAGTGTTCAGCCGATAGCTCATGAGCTCGAACTCACCGTCCGGCCTGGGATTCACTTACTGGCGGCCATTATATGCATATATATGAGTTAGGCTAAAGGGTTTAGGGATTCTGCTGCTCCTCTTTCGGTCTTGCTGATGGTTAGCAGGTACTACTGGTGGCAGTTAAGTAATGATGTAGATGTTCACACGATTGGTTGAAATGTATTGTACAACCCTGCAAACAAGGCACTCAGAAGAGCAAACTCTTCACAAAAGTGTGTCATGCGATGCAAACTTCCCTCTCTCCGCCTAAACCCTCAGCCCTAAATTGCAACCTGGCCACGGAATAAAGGAAATTGTCCGGTCGTTCTCGAATCGAGCGAGCCGCACACATTGATGGAATTTGATGTCCTTCGAGCCCGGAGCGCTAAAGCTGAGGGATGGGGGGTTGTATTTGGGGTAATATTGGGATAATGGAACATAAAATGGAAACTACTATAATGGATTATATAGGGGTTTAGGGGTGATATTGGGGTAATATTGGGATAATGGAAAATAAAATGGAAACTACTGTAAAGGATTATATAGGGGTTTAGGGGTGATATCGGGGTACAATAATCTCCACGCAGCACAGCAAACGACAATCTACAGGCCAGCAGCACTGTCGCAACCCTAAATTCTGAACAGGTAGTTTCCCAAAATAAGGGGACCCCAATATAGACCCCAAATACTATAATCCTGGTTATGGGGATCACCAAAAAAGGTACCCCTAATTTTGGGAAACCCCCAACAGTAGCGTGCCTCCATCTCTACCGACTTTCCTTTGGCCACGGGCCGCCCAGTGGCCTCGCGAGGCTGCATCCTACCCCCAGCCTCCCCATGCAGAATCAGCTAAACCCCAACAGCGAGCCAAGTAAGCCTCAGACCTCATAAGGGAATTTCCCCAAATTAGGGGTACCACTTTGCGGGTCCAAATAATAAGGACTATAATATTTCGGGGTCTATATTGGGGTCCCCCTATTTTGGGAAACTACCATAAATCCAACTGGTGAAGACTTGGGAAGTCATGCTCCAGAGAACATTTCAGAACATGCTCGCACGCATGACTTAGTGTTGGCAGTATCATTACTCTAATTGCATTCTTCTCGTGATCATAGGATTGATGAATATCTTCGGCATTTGTGTTCTTGGCCTGCAAGGTCTGGGTGTTGCATATCAACCGCTGAACACGCAAAACCCTAACCAAAACACCCCCTACACCCCAAACACCAAACCCCAAACACCAAACCCTAAACCCCAAACCCTAAACTTTAAACCTTGAACCCTAAACCCCAAACCCTAAACCATAAACTTTAAACCCTTAACCCTAAACTCTAAACCCCAAACCCGGTACCCCTAAACTTTAAACACCAAACCCTTGACCGCCAATCCCCAAACCCCGAAGCCTCGAAGAGAAGCTTGTCATTGAGACCCAGCTTCAGCTCGGGCATGCCAGAAAGATAGGACCTGAATGGCTTTGGGGTTTGGGATGGGGGGTTTAGGCTTTGGGGTTTTAGAGTTTAAGGTTTGGGATTTGGGGTTAGGGTTTAGGATTCAGGGTTTGGGGTTAAGGGAGTAGGGCGTAGGGCAGCTGAACACGCATCCTGTCAACGCTACATTGTCCACTTCATGCACTGCAGTTGGCATCAACTCAGGAGATGACTTCATCTTCAGCGCACCCAAGATCTCCGAACGCAGCACGGAGCCGTTTGCGGAAACTAACAGGTTGAGGCGCTCCACCTGCCAAGAGATTTTAGGGCTTGGGTTAGCGTTTTGGGTTTAGGGCGTAAGGTTAAGGGCTTACGTTTAGCGTTTAGGGATAACGGAGAATCAGATGGACAGAATGGAGGATCAACTGCAAACTGGGATGATTTATAGGGATTTGGGGCTTCCAAAAATTGGCCCTTGGCTGACACAGACACAGAGGCTAGGAAGCCGGCAACATCCAGGAATATCTCGTTCTTTTTGTGCTTGATGCCCTCAGACCGCCAGGACCTAAGCAGTCGGATTTCATGGCCCCAGCACATTCAAACAGCATTTAAACGAAAACCATCCTCCCAACTGAGACTCGTAACGAGGCTTCTTATCAATTCTTATCCATCATATGCTTGTTTCACAGGCGTGGAATGACGTTGCATCACTTCGAACTTGATGATACTTTGGGTCATTCCCCCTTACAGTGGAATTATCATACGAAGTAATAGGAGTTCCCTAGTCCCTAAACCAAGTTCTTCCACTTAGCGTCCCCCTTAAGTAGATAGAATATAGGGTATATGGGGATGGTATTATAATATACCCAAAGCCATATTCACTTAAGGGGGACTAAACTCTAACCTCGGCTCCACACACGGCGTTGGTGACTGCTGTGGGCGGCCGCATCTGATCTACAGAAAGCCTCAGAACAGAAAAGCGCATTGCGGGTATACGGTTTAGAGCTTGAGGTTGAGAATACAGATAATCCAGAGGGTCCAAGTACCCAATAATTAGGTACTTGGGTTTATGGTAATAGTAGTTCAAGTACAGCTTTTGGGGTAGGTATATGATTGTTAGGTACTTGGACCCTTAGGGAAATTAGGGTAATAGTGACAATAAGACTTAAAAACTATGATTATCATACTGCTAGTGATACTAATAAAAAATGATCAAGTACTAGTAGTCATAACAGCACTAGTTGGTGGCTAACCGTTACAGAAGTCATAACCAAAAGAAGCCAAGTTTGTAATTAGGATGACAATCATCTTCATCACCGCCACCATCACGGAGAGAAAGCCCGCAGGTCAACACGGCTGAGATCCCAACTGATGCGACTGGGTCTTAATGTACTCCCTCAAGATCTTGACCTCTTGCTGAGCAGACTGGTTGCGGCGAGATTCAGGGAACTGCCAAGCAAATGCCTCCGTTGTCTGAGGGTAGCCATTGTCCATCATCTCATCTAGGAGCTCGTAGGTGATCACAAAGTTATCCTCCCAACAACTTCAAGCAGAACAACACGGGTTTAGGGTTTAGGGTTTAGGGCCAGCTCTTTGCACGATGCCAGTCCTTTATGCTTTCCTCCTCAAGCTCGTTGAAGTAATCTCTGAGGACCTGGCACCAAAAACTTCATTGACGTAATGTGGCTGAAGACACTCTCGGACCTCCGCCAATCTATAGAGGAAGGCCACAATCAAGGTGGCATTGGAGTTTCTCTGGGTAACAGCCTTAAACCAAGTTCTGTCAGGCAGGATGCCCACAGCACAGCACTCTCCTGTCAAATCTGAGGGCCCTGCTAACAAGTAAAGATTGTTATACCTCAGCAGCATCTCGCACGTGAGGCCGGTGGCTTCATAACTGAGGCACCGCTGGCTCCAACTTGTTTGCATGATAAGTTTCCCAAACAGGATGCCCTTTAACTGCCATATTATGCCCAAACGTAAGGGTTGGCGAACTATTATGCCTTTAATCGCTTCACCCTAATAATATTCCCCCTAAACCCTAAACCCTCAACCGTAAATCCCAATTTTCTAGCAAGCCCGCAGACTTTTGAGCAAAGGGCTGGATCCAGGCAAAGCTGATGCCATCCTGGTGTCGGGAGGCAAATTATGACCATTTCAAATGTGGAAACAAATGGCAGTTCCTTATGTCAGGGTTATGGGGTTCCCCCCTTTACCCCGAAAGGATCCAGACTAGTCCCCCGCTCTTCGGACCCCCAAACGGGGACACTCCAAGTTTGAAACCCCGCAGTCACAGCACAAAACATGCTCTGTTATGAATGCGTCCTCGCAGAATACGGGTTTTATCACGGCATCCTCCGCATCGATAACGTGCTGCTGAAACCTGACACTGATTGCGGCTGCGGCTTAGGGTTTCGGGGCTTAGTGCTGATGAATTTGCACTGTTAGGGAAGGGGCAAAAAGATAGTAAACTCTTAGCCTTTACCTTGGTCGGTAACCCCTTCAATACTCCTATGTATAATTCAAATTATAGCACATACGAGGATTCTTGGGGGCAGTAGCTACGGTGTGAGCTTGCCCCAGGCCTCTCGGTGATGTTCATCGGCACCTCACCTCGATAGTTTCTACCTCAGCGGAACGAACGCTGGTACTGAAGGAGGAATTAGCCATACCATGTTTTTGAATCCCTAAACCCTAGACTCTAAAACCTAGACCCTAAAACCTAGACCCTAAAACCTGGACCCCAAAACCTAAACCCTAAGACCTAAACCCTAACACCTAAACCCTAAACCACCTAAATGAGGCCTGCCCGAAGTCCACAGCCCCGCTCTTCAAGCACCACCGAGGCAAGCACTGATGATCACCTTGCCCTTCATGTCCATGATGAAGACCTGCCGGCTCCACCCTTCCGTGTCAATACTAATCCCTTCCCCCTAATACTAAACCCCTCAATCCCCCCAAATATCTAAATATTAAATATTCCCCATAAACCATAATATAATACCAAAATGGGAGTATTTAGAATAGGGGCGGGGAGGCTTAGTATTGGGGCGAGGGGATTATAGCATAATGCTATGCACCTATACACCCCCTCATAGCCCTACACAACCTCGGAAAGGGACCCTAAAATCCTGGACCTTGGAACCCCCTAACCTCTCAGATCCCCTCAGTTGACCTCGTGCATGCAAACGCCCGAAAAATTGTAAGACTCAAATCCCAAAACGAAATTACAGTCCCCCCCAGACTTGCAGAATCCCATCCGCCAAAATGTGAAAATTAGGAAGTACCGGCTACTGGTTAGTACGGTTATAAGCAGGTGCTACTGGAGCTCCAGCTTGCTACTCGCGGATTTGGATACACGCCCTTACTTACGCAAGCTTGGGGCGGGGATGGGGAAGGGAGATACGAAGTGGACATCAAGACCCTAAGCCCTAAATCCCTAAAGCCCTAAAACCCTAAACTCATCCTAAACCCTAAACCCCTAAAACCCCTGAGCACCCCTGAACCCCCTATAACCCTCCTACCCCCACTTCAGCTTGCAAAAGTCCCAGGGCTCGCACCGCGGAAGCCCCAGCCATGGCTCTCAGTCCGCCTGGAGAACACCTGCTATGTGGATGATGACGACTTGATGGTCCCTAAACCCTAAACCCTAAACCGCTAGGGTTCTGAGGGTTTAGGGGTTTTGGGCTCTGAGGGTTCTGAGGGTTTGGGGTTTAGGGCCTGGGGATCAGGGTTTGGACTTTGGATTTAGGGTTTGGGATTGAAAGTCTGGGGTTCCGGTCGCTTCTATGATACGACCCTCATCTTAGCAGCCCCAACAGGGGTTCATGATTGCGAGCACCTCAGGAAGCCACCTACAGTTCCTACGAAATCTGCAACGAAGGGAGTGTATTACTCTACATATTTTCAAAATGTGTCACATGTGTCTGAGAATGTATGCATGCATGCCTGCATGCACGTGGGCACCTATGTATCTACGCGTCCTCATACCGTTCACTGCATGACGTGTGCAGCAGTTCCCCCAACATTTTCCATTTTTCAAGCTGGATCCCTAACCCTAAACCCTGAACCCTCAACCCCCGAAACCCTAGGCCCTAAACCCTAAAAACTAGACCAGGGATCCATAACTTTGATAAGCCCCAGGCACCGCAGTGCTCGATCCAGCGCAACGCACCATGCCACAAACCTACCTTTTCTACCTTTGCCTGAGCCGGAGCCGCAGACGAGAAGTCGTCGTAGTGGAAGTAATAATACAAATAATAAGAATAACCTACTAAGGATAATAACAATAATAACACTAGCAATACTAATAACAACAATGATAATAACCATGAGTCAGATTGGTAGCAAGAATAGCAATAGCGATAGATGTAGTTGTAGTAGTCATAGTTGGCATTAGGGGTAGCAGGAGTGTGTGCACCCCCAGCTTGCATCTCCGAGATACCTCAAATTACAGGCCGTTCGGATGTAACACGAAAACATAGGGAGACACCAACTTTGCAGACCAAATGTTCCCTGTAGATGCTGCACACACCACTGGCGCCCACCTCCTTTGGGAGACCGTTGAAGTGGCGGAAGAGGAACCGCGAGAACTCCTCTGTGGCTGGGCACTTGCTGCGGCTAATCCCTTTCAGCACGGCTCCTTCTTGGAGAGCTCTTTTGTGGCACCATGCGGACCGTGCTCCTGCGCGAACCTCATCGGCAGGCTGTGGTGAGGAAAGCAGCGCAGCGTAGGACAGTTCTGGTCTGGCCAGGTAGCATCTCAAACGCGGACTTCATGGTGGAGAACTTTTCAAGGATTCTCTGCCGAAAATGTATGAGCCTCAGCAAGAGCGTCTTGCTTTCAACTACGGCTGGTCTACTAGCATTTACTACATTGCTATCATTATATTTCTTGCTCCTATTACTAATTTCCTAGTATTCTTACTACTACTGTAACTACTGGTAATTTCATTACCACCAAAGACGAAACAAACTTAGCTCCCAGCCGCCTACTCGCCTGTGATAGGGACTTGTTTGTGGTGATGCCGCTCACCTTGGGCAATTCTTCTCAACAGGGTTTAGGGTTCAGTTCATGGGGTTTATCTAGGCGATATATAGAAGGACTATATACGCATAGCATCGTACAGCCGAGGGCTGACATGGAGGTTATATCTCAGGCCTATGTTGGGAATATACACCTGTTCTATGGACAAATGGCTGAGGCGAAAGGGTTTGTTTTCAGAGGGAACCCTAAACCCTGAACCCTAAACCCTAAACGTCAGGCTGACAAGTCGTTTATTTCCGCACCTGAAACTTTTTGTTTCGAGATCTTCCCACGCCAGAGGAGGGAGGGGAGGGAGGGGCCCCGGGGTTGAGGGTTTAAGGGTTTAGGGTTTAGAGTTTAGGGTCTAAGGTTCAGGGTTCAGGGTTTAGGGTTTAAAGGTTCAGGGTTTTTGTTTTAGGGTTCAGGGTTCAGGGTTTAGGGTTTAAGGGTTTAGGGTCTAGGGAAACAAACTAACTCAGAAACTTTGGAAACCTTTGTTCCATGGGCGGAAACTAAGATTTGCCAGAAACATTTGCTTTGAGGCAGAAACTGAGGTTTTCCGGAAACGTTTGTTTTTGGGCAGAAACTGTTTCCCAGAAACCTGAGTTTAGTGTGACACTGTGAAACTAACTTTTCACAGAAACCTGAATTTAGTGGGAAGCTCACATTCGCCGTAAACCATAGTTTCCAGCCCCAGCGAAAGTTTCTGGAAAAAGGTTTGTTTCCCTCTTACGAAACAAACGTATCCCGGAAACCTTAGTTCGGTTCGTGAAACCAAGGTTTCCCAGAAAAGTTCATCTCTGACCAAATAGTAAACATTCGAAAGGTTTCCGGGAAACGTTTGTTTGAAGCGAACAAGCAAACTCGCGTCCGCCCCTTGTGGGTTTTCTCGGGTCGCGGCAGAACGGTTATGAAGGCATTGTATATATAAGGACTATATATTCCCTGGGACTTACATGGAAGTTATATCTCATTCATGTCGTGAGTACAGGGGGCTCAAGCTGCCAACATCTGTCGCTAAGGCACCCGCCAAAGTAGCTCGGTCCTGGACATGCACATTCAGCTGGGCCCTAACTCTAAGGGATTTGGAACCCCAGTAGAAATTACAATTTCAGCGAAATATTAGGATTCTAGGTAACAGAAATTAAAAAGTTATTTTCAGGAACCTTGTAGCTAAACCCTAAGCCCTAAACAACCTTTTCGGCCGTTTGAGTCATATCCAGGTCCCTGGCCATGGCAATGTGGCCGGTCTGCCTAGTCTTGCTGCAACTGTTGGTCCTTCTTACTACGTCCATGACTCTCGCTTCATGCTAGTTGTGGCAATTTCCTGATTGCTTCGTGAAAAGTGAAGTTTTCAGTGGCTGATGCTCATGCTTAGACAACGTCTTTTCATTGTTGGCCAGGAGACAAGATGCTCTGAGCTTCGCACTCGGGCAAATTCGATGCGGTCTGCTTCCGCAGCTTTTGGTTCTGAGACCTGGGCAGCCAGTCTTGCAGCAGCTGGCACCGGCAGGGCTTAGATCCCAACTTTCCGCATCTTGCGTCGTCCTCCTTGTCCCTGGAAGGAGGTCGCCGAGGAAAAATCCTCAAGACTACGGAAACTTGCCCTGAATGGACATGTAAACAACATGTCCAAACCCAAGGGCCCGTCTCATCCAAAAGGCTTGCTGTCATCTCCTGGACCCAAGCTTTAGGTTTAGTTTTCTTTTTTTTCTCGGACCGTTTCTCCAGAGGAGATGCCTTGCAGCACAGTGATACTAATGTGGTTGCCCGCTCTCAAGGTTTAGGGTTTGGGGTTCCTATGACTTCAACTGTCACTTCCGCTGTTTGGGAATTTGCAGGCCTCCCTGGGCAGCATCGTCGGCTTCTCTGCCACAGGCTCCGATTGCCTTCAATGCAAATCCCAAGTGAGGCTGATATACTGTATTATATTGCAATATAGTATATCATTCCACATTACGAAATATTGTTATACAATATACAAAAATCTAAGATGATAGAATACAATGTAATGTAATATATTCTAATATCATAACATACACTAAATCCTTGTACGGATGATATTCAGCATCTGCATAGCATGCCTGGCCGTGTCCTGCTCCCTTGCTTCCTCGCAGCTGTCTGATGATCCATCGGCTCTACAAAACTAAACTTCGTCCCCAGCCTGGGATGAAGCTGTCGACGCTCTGTAGCGATAGAACTCACCCTGGTCAAACACGAAACATGGCAGCAAGGCTCACACTGCCCTCGCAGGCTCATCTGGAACGCAGTTGCACGCTCATCTGGCTTGCGGACCCTCATCGCTGGAAGCGTGTGCAGACCCAGGTCACCTTGCACCTCAACAAGCAAAGACGTTGAAATCGACAGACAAGTGAGAAGCGGCTGCCAACCTTCCTTACTGGTCCCATATTCTGCCAGTACACCTGCACCAAGCACGGGGTGGGGGGTTATGGAGTTTTGGGTTGTGGGTGCTGAAATCTCAGCAAGTCTCGGAACCCATGTCTTTCTGCCTGCCTGGGCTTTCTGCTGGTACGTCGAGGAAGGAGTGGGGATCCGCTGGAAACATCTCAGCTCCTAAGGCACCATCTGCACGGCCCTCCATATCAATGATCATGTACTCTTCTCAGGTACTGCAACTAGTTGGCTATCATTGTTGTCAGTGAATACTCCCAATAAGTACGATCATTTGTACCATCAGCATCTGGTCAGCCGTCCTCAGCATTGAAGCGGCCACTGCCCAACAATCGCCGTCTGGAAGGAGAACTAGAAGATTCCGACCTAAGATTCCAACCGGAGAAAACTGCAAAGCAACATGCAACCAACACACCATGAACGCAACCTGTATAACCCTCATATGACCCCCGTAAACCCTATATAACCTCGCTGCACTTACCCTGTGCCTCCAAATACAAAACACCCAGCATGCAAGGCCAGAGTCAGACTTTACTTATAACACTCCTGCAGGCCCTAAACCCCAAACCCTAAACCCCCAAAACCCTAAACCCCTGAACCCCTAAAACCTAAACGCTTAAACCCTAAAACCCTTAAACCCTAAAATCCTAAAACCCTAAACCCCTGAACCCCTAAACCCTAAAACCCTAAAACCCTTAAACCCTAAAACCCTAAAACCCTCAAAGCCAAGGCCCTGGCCAAGGTGTTGGAGCCGTGGATGGCGGCCCCTGTCCAAGACCGTCCAGGCTTTTTAGGGTTTAGGGTTGAGGGTTTAGGGTTTAGGGTTTAGGGTTTGGGGTTTAGGGTTTAGGGTTTGGGGTTTAGGGTTTAGGGTTTAGGGTTTAGGGGGTACATCCACAGCAAGCTCCATAGATTCCCAAACAGCCCTCTATCCCTATATAACCCTATAGTCCCTATACATCCCAAATGCCCCAAACATGACCAAACCATCGACGCGAAATGCAGACTAGCAGCTAAGCCACGCTTTGCTCCATCGAGTCCTGGCCTGAAAATTGCAGAAGGTGCATCTGACGTTTGATCCCTGCATATTGGGAGGGGTTTCCCGAAATCAGGGGCACCGTTTTGGGGGTCCCAAAGAGACGTATGATAGTACTTCAGGGTCTATATTGGGTCTGTAAATTTTGGAACACTACCATATGTGGACCATATGGTATCCTTTGAATCCTCACTACATTGCATACTCCATTATTTCCATTTGCTTCTCAACTCTTTTCCATCTTGTCTTCGTGATCAGCGAATCAACTCTAGATTTGTGTGCCAAGGTGTCGGCAAGAGCTACAAGATAAGTTTCACTTAGGCTAACCAAGTCGCCAAGCTGACCAACGAAAGCATCATGTGAACCTTTAGCCTTCACTGAGCCCGCGACAAAGGCAGGTGAACATCCTCCGTAGCCATGGCGCCATTACAAGCTGTCGTGCGAGCCTAATCAGCATTTTTGTTGCTGCTTGAGATCACCCACGTGTCTTTACGAATTTGGCATGTTGACAAGCAAGTAACATGGACGACACAAAAAGATGGTGCGCACTATATTGTCGCTGCACTTTCCTCTGGGCAGGTCTACTCCAAACATCTCTGACTTGATTTGCAATTGAACCGTATGAGAGCCAACTTCACACATCAAAGACGGAAAACCGCGAGGTGATCCCTAAGCCTGAAACCTTTTCTTTCGACCCTGAGCACATTCTGATCAGAATCTTTTCCTTAAAACGGAATTTGGCTTTCTGCGCGCGCGGTTGAGCACCCCGCTGGTGAAACTTTTTCGGAAATCCTGGAACACACACGAGGGGCAGCCTGCTTCAGTCGCTCCTCGCTGTGGTTGGGCCTTTCCGTCCATACGGTTCACAACGAGTTGAGTTTGTGGGTTTTTAGCCGCCTCACTCTTGCTTTTGAACGCAAGCATTCTGATTTCTGGGCTTACGCTGTTAAATTTGCCCAAGGAGTCAGCTGCCGCGAGCACCAAGGACCAAGGACCTCTAAAATATACTAAAATGCCCCTAAAATACTCCAAGGAAGCACAGAAAGTAGCTTAGGATTGAGTAGTCGAGAGGTGCTGAGCTTTAGGCTTGTAGATTCTGGAATTTGGAGGTTTAGGGCTCAGCATGTTAGAATGTAAGGTTTAGGAGATGACCATGCTCCGGACATCACGAAGGGAGATATACCGGATGATGAAAAACCCCAGCTGCTTGGGAAGAACTACTATCTACCCATCAAGAACTTGTAGAATCCAAACCTTGTTCCGTGCGGAGCTGTGACCTGAAAGGGTCTAGATAAGACACGGTGACCCTGCCAAACCACAGCACGGGGCCCGGGCCCAGGCCTGACTAAATGCCGAAGAACCGGCTCCCTGCCTCGGGGTTTGGTGCTTTGGGTTTAGGGCCTACCCAGGGTTTAGAGTTTAGGGTTTAGGGTGGGGCTTAGGCGAGGAATGGAAAAAAACCTGGAAACTACGATCATACTCTTTGAGGGTTCAGGGCTTACGGTCTTGTGGTGGGCTCCTTGACGAACCAAAGGCCTAGCAAATGTACTAGTGGCTTCCAGAAACAAATCCACAAAGACCACCCTTGGGTGTTTAGGGTTTAGGGTATAGGTTTCAGGGTTTAGATTTTTGGATTGTCTAGGGTTTACAATATAGGGTTGCTTGGCCTTCGAGGGCTCAGGAGAATTTAGATTCATATCACTAGGGATCGTAGGAGACCAGAGCCCATCTGTCCGTGAAGGTCCGCGCCAAATCCCGGTTTAGGGTTTAGGGTTTAGGGTTTTGCAGAAATACACCCATGTCCTTTTTGCTGTTTCCTTCATGCGGTACGTGCACTGCAACTGGGGCGGGCATGTGCAATCACAGAAGATGGATTGGTCTCAGTCGTGCTGCCGCCTCTATACATCGAGACATTGATAGCTAGCATGGCAAACCGTTCCAAAACACAGGGTTGTGAAACAAATTCGCCAGGCTGCAAATGCCATAGAGACAACACCGACGTGTCCCTTCGTGAGGTGCCACACCTCAATTCACCCATTCTCTTCACAGCACGGATGTAGAAGCATGAGAAAGGCTGCACTGAGGTGAAAGATAAATTTCAAGGTGGGACGTCTGCCAACCTACCTGCCCAAGCTAGTGCGACTGTTGAGGAGTATGAAAACAAGCCTGTCTTCAAGTAGAGCTGCTCGCGCACAATTCAGCTAGCGGCTTGCAAACAATCCGTGGGGAGTTTAAGACCTAGAGGGGCCTAGAGGTATTCGAAAAGTGAGCTTATCAATTCACTTTTGGACAGCTGTGACAGAACCTTCGTCATTAAGGCCTTTTCAAGGCTTGCTTGATGGTGCCCTACTGCGTCAAAATTCATGAGATGCAATTGCCCGGAACGGTCGCCGTGCACGATCAAGCGAGCTCGAGACATCGCCAGGCGGAGCAAAACAACATTGAGCTACAGGTCTGCGGCGTATAAGGCCGCTCTGGGCCATGAAGTATGATTCCCTACATAAAAAAAAAAAAAAAAAAAAAAA